TCGAATAGGCTTGCCACGTCCAATTCATACCATAAAATGTAGCTGTAATCACCCCTTTGTTAAAAGTTAAGTCAACTTCGGCTTTATTTCCCGGAAATTGGAGAATATTTTCCAGTCTCAGGGACTCTAAACTAACTCCTGATGGCCTTGATTTTCAGTGAAATGGACACAGCAAAACTTTTTGAACGCTCACTTTGGATCTTCTGGGCCGAAATATAGCCCCACTTCACTTTAAGACTGAAAGAGTAGCCGAGACCGCGTTGCGGGCATCGTGATTGTGACCATTTTCGACTGGATTTCCCGGGACTTGGGGGATATTTTCTAGTGCCGGGGACTCTAAACTAAGTCCTGAGGGCCTTGTTTTGCAGTGAAATTGAAACAGCAAAAGTTTTTAAAAGCACAGTTTCGAGCTTCTGGGCCGAAATATAGCCCTACTTCACTTGAAGAGTGAAAGATGAGCCGAGACCGCCTTACGCGCATCGTGATTTTGACCAACTTCGGCTCGATTTGCCGGATCTTAGGGAATATTTTCCAGTTCCGTGGACTCTAAACTAATTCCTGATGGCCTTGGTTTGCAATGAAATGGACACAGCAAAACTTTTTGAACGCTAATCTTCGAGCTTCTGGGCCAAAATATAGCCCCACTTCACTTTAAGACTGAAAGCATAGCCGAGACCGCCTTGCGGGCATCGTGATTTTGACCAACTTCGGGTCGATTTCCCGGAACTTAGGGGATATTTTCCAGTCGCGGAGACTCTAAACTAACTTCTGATCGTCTTGGTTTTCAGAGAAATGGACACAGGGAACCTTTTTGAACGCTCAATTCCGAGCTTGTGGGCCGGAATATAGCCCACTTTACTTTAAGACTGAAAGAGTAGCCGAGACCGTCTTGCGCGAATCGTGAGTTTGACCAAGTTCGGGTCGATTTCCCGGAGCTTGGGGGATATATTGGAGTCCCGCGGGCTTTAAACTAGCTCCTTATGGCCTTGGTTTTCGGTGAAATGGACAGAGCAAAACTTTTTGAACACTCACCTTCTAACTTGTGGGCCGAAATAGAACCCCACTTCACTTTAAAACTGAAATAGTAGCCGAGACCGCCTTACGCGCATCGTGATTTTGTCCAAGTTCAGCTCGATTTCCTGGAGCTTGGGGGATATTTTCCAGTTCGGGGGACTCTAAACTAACTTCTGATGGCATTGGTTTGCAATGAAATTCACAGAGCATAACTTTTTGAACGATCACTTTGCAGCTTCTGGGCTGAAATATAGCCCCACTTCACTTTAAGACTGAAAGAGTAGCGGAGACCGCCTTACAGGCATCGTGATTTTGACCAANTAAACGGTCACTTTCGAGCTTCTGGGCCGAAATATAGCCCCACTTCACTTTAAGACTGAAACAATAGCCGAGACCGCGTTTCGCGCATCCTGATTTTGACCAACTTCGGATCTATATCCCGAAACTTGGCGGATATTTCCCAGTCCTGGGGACTCTAAACTAACTCCTGATCGCCTTGCTTTGCATTGAAACTGACAGAGAAAAACATTGTGAAGGCTCACCTTCGAGCTTCTGGGCCGAAATATAGCCCCACTTCTTTTTAAGAGCAAGAGTAGCCGAGTCCGTCTTACGCGAATCGTGATTTTGACTAACTTCGGCTCGATTTTCCGGAACTTGGGGGATATATTCCAGTCCCGGGAACACTAAACTAACTCCTGATGGCCTTGGTTTCCAGTGAAATAGACACAGCAAATTTTTTTGAACGCTTACTTTGGAGCTTCTGGGCCGAAATAGAGTCCCACTTCATTTAACACTGAAAGAGTAGCCAAGACGGCCTTACGCGCATCTTTATATTGCCCAACTTTGTCTCGATTTTTCGGCACTTACGGGATATTTTCCAGTCCTTGGGACTCTAAACTAACTCCTGATGGCCTTGGTTCGAAGTGAAATTCACACAGGAAAACTTTTTGAACGCTCACTTTCGAGCTTCTGGGGCGAAATATAGCCCCACTTCACTTTAAGACTGAAAGATTAGCCAAGACCGCTNGGGTCTACAAGTGCACGCGGGATCCTTTCTTGGACAGTGGCAAGTGATCGATGCTCCTCCGTTTTAAGTGGTATCTTTTATTTAGGGGTTCAATGAAGCTCAAGTAACGTCCGCATTAGTCTCCCGTGGGAGTTAAATCCATATTTTCCGACGAGCATCCCTTTAGTTTGCAAATGTCTAACGGGAAGTGAAGGAGTGATGGAGTGAAATCATTCCACCACTACAACTTGGAAAATAATAATTTCCATGTTTAAAAACGAGGCGTAGCAGAGTATTTTTGACAAACCTTTTCAAACGTTTGGAAATGTGGTCGAATTAACAAATTGACGTCAGTTTTTCATGCGTCTGTAGAGGCGATGGTGGATCAGCAGACTACTTTGACAATGTTATGACGAAATTCATTGTCAATAACAGGACAGACGCATGAAAAACTGACGTCAATTGTTTTTTACGATAACAAATTGTCAAATTGTCCGCTCTCGCTCGTTGACGCATCGCATAAATTATAAATTCACGTGTTTCATGTGACAATGAAAATTTGCCAATGATCATGAGGGCGCAAGAATTTCTGCAGTTATCGTAACACACGGTCTTCAGTGTTTGGTATATCTTTTCAAGCTAAACTAAAAACAATCGAGTAAACAGAGAAAGAAAATCGTATAAATCTATGCTAATTAGGATTAGGCTCGATTTCCGCCGCTTTCTCGAGTGCGGTCTAAGTTCCTGCCCGAGCGCGCTCTTTTCCCGAACAGCGGCTGGTAATCGAGCCTAATTAGGATCAGATATCCAAAAACAGTCACGTTCATGATTTCCTTTGTTTAAACTTGTTGAATTATTAAGTTTGCATTGAGAAGCATCTGTACAGTGTTAGTCTTGATCTCAAGTAAAATGTTTGCAAATACTGCCGAGAATATAAATAAGAATTATAGCAATAACAATTAATTTCTATAGCGCTCTTTCTCAACGTAATTTGATTATGCTAAAAAATAAAACGTGATTGTTTCAGCTTACGCATCAGCTCTTTCTTACCCTGCAAGCAGATCGAGTCGGTTCGATCTGACTCTGTTCGAAGGGTAACACTTTTCTACAAGTATTGGTTGATAGTTTACTTTAAATGAAGTCCAACGTTGCAAAGATTAGTTCTTCGTCTTGTTATTCAGCAGTTTTGGTCTTCTCGAAACTGATCAATTCCTTAAGGACAGTGCCCACTTTTGCTGGTGCGCACACGGTCTGCGCATCATGCCAGGCATGGTGTACACCATACGCGCACGCTAAGGTTGACATTGACGTAATCAACTAGCTACTAAGTGCGCGACTAAAATAAACCAAATCATGTTTAATGAGTCTGTACGAAACCCAGGAATACCAGAATACCACCATATCGCTAACCATTAACTGTTAACCGTTTCAATCGGAAAAACTTACTGTTATCCGTTGAAAATGATACTGAAATCCAACTGTAAACATGTACCAGCAGACAGCGTAGTGCGCGCTAATCAAGTGTGAGAGACGCAAATGCTTGACTGATTACTGGGAAGGTGACAGGGAAAAAAATTAACAAGCACCGAAGGAGTCTCCAACAAAGATGAAAACAACTCTTTTAACTTTTAAAAACGCGTGGTCGTGAAAGTGGCAGGCTAATTCAACACGTAATTAAATTATGGTTGTGTGAAAAAGCTACTTAGACTGCATTTGGCCAAACCAGAGAGCTGTCAGAGACGCTAACAGAGCTGCTGCGACGATGTTGTTATTAAAAATATAACTGATTTTTGTGTTGTTATTTACCATGGAGTTTAAAGATCTTTATAAATTCGTTTGCTGTTCTGTATGTAAAGACGAATTCTTAGGAAATCTGTCAAAAAAATATTCTTTCCTTATTTTTCAAAATGACCCAAGTAACCTTAATAGAAGCGAAACCAATTTTATCTGTCGAAATGCGTTAGACATGTGTAAAAGTCTAGGACCGATAAATATTGCAAAAAGGGTAGATAGACAACTGGTAAAAGAGCTCTAATTCACGCTGGCTTTCTCGTAGACAATACATGGCCTCAATTGATCGCGCGCTTACATAAAAGGCATGCACAGTCTAATTCCCCCACAAGGTTTTAAAACTTGTATTTGATCGAAGATTGCTCGAGAACCGTCGTACAACCCATGATTAAATTTTCAAAGTAGATTTGAATTGCATTTGGAGTCGAAACTGTAAAAAAAATTCTGTGAGACAGATTTTGAGCTATATTTGAAATAGGCGAAATTTCACATTTTCATGGTTTGCGTAAAACCTGTCTTACAGATGCTTTAGTTTACTTTCCATGAATGTTTAATCATAGCCAATTTCTAATTACTGAAATGTTGAGGTGGAGTCATCAGGCAAATTTGAGAAAAACCTGAACTCATTACACCTACTAGCGCCCAGTCTCTCCTTAGGTAATTTTGGTTATCTCTTAAGGTTGTATCACATATAATGTATCACATCTAATGGTAAAAGACTGTGGCAAATCGTATTTTTCAAAAGAATAAGGCTCTTCATCAAAACCGTAGCAAGCCATCGTAACTGACATTTCAGAAGCGTTTCACTTACTCATATATTTTGAAAGTGACGTGTTCTGGTCTTGAAATAAACCGAAGCAGCTGAATCGCATATCTTTTTTGTGCAACAGATTCACTTGGCATCTTGTCTTTTCAAAGTTGTCTCCTGTACCAACGAAAACTGTCACGTTACATTGCAAAGGAAACATCTCGAGGAACACGTGACCATAACGTGCCCGTGGAGAATCCTTGAATGTGATCACTGCAGTGAGCCACACCCAGAGTGTAAGATGAAGGTAAAATTTGATTTCTCAACAAAATAATTGGAATTTTGATAATGATATCACTAAACCTTTTTCTCTTACATTCTCCTGCGTATATGTGGCGATCTCATTTGTGGACCGATTGTCCAATTTTCAAGGCTGGCTTCGAATGGAATATCCTTTTTACATTGATCTTGTTATATGAAGACCGTAGAGGGTAGGTAGACGTGCGCGTCTTGTTCCGTACAGTGGGTCAAAGGCGGGATGATTGAATTTGCAAATTAACAAGATTATAGGTCAATTTCGATATATCACAATTTTAACTTTGCGCCGAGACGTAGCGGAATGAAACACAAGGAATCATACAATCATTCATTAACCACGATGCCGTTTCTTTCTTTTGTTCCCCTAAACCTTGGCGCCAAGAGGAATTTTAATATATCGATGATATCTGTTCACTGGTCTTGTGGGCACGTTGGTTATTATAATCCTTCAAATATTTGCGCTCGTGCACGATTGGTCTAAACACGTCATGTAAGTGAATATGCCCCAGCTAAAACTGGAAAATATCCGAGCGATATTCTCACGTGCACGTGTTGCGAAAATTGTATGAAGGGAATAAACGGAATAGCCTCCATTTGGCGCGAAAATATGCTCGGATATTTGTCCTTAGACATTATCTCCGAGAAGCGAACAGTTTTCCGAGAGCGTGAGCTCGAGGAAAACGCTTTGTAGACTTTGAGCAACAAATAACGTCCGCGAACAAATATCCGTGTATATTGCTATTTATTACGAATAAAAATATGTCTCGAATCTAAATGGAATGAAATAGAATAGAACGGCACGTCATTTTCTTAGAATGTTGTACGTGGCTCTTTCCTTGCAGGATCATATTGGAGTGTGCAGGAAGTTCCCAGTAACTTGTACCAACAATTGTGGAGCTTCAATTCCCAGGGAAATGGTAAGACGTTTAACTTTTTATGGCTGATGTTTATGCATTAATGTAACTTAACTGTTTAAGTTTTACATATTACTGTTACTGGAGTGTTGTAGCTCAAACAGTCCCAATTTGGAATTGATTGGATGGAGTCAGTGAGAACGGCCAAATCCAGCACGTATACGAGTGTCTGGATGGGGCTATCTGAAAACTGACAGATGGTTAATATATATATATATATATATATATATATATATATATATATATATATATATATATATATATATATANTTGTTAGCTTACCAGATACATTGACATGTAAAGAAGTTCATCAGTATTTTCTTGCAGGTTCAACGAAGACAAGTGGAATCCCATCTTCAATTTTCCACGAGGCTCCATCTTGATTTAGCTTGTTTGAAATTAAACAACACTGAATTAAGATTAAGTAATACAGAAGTAGAGTTAAGTCGAATGCAAGAAACAAATAAGAAACTGATGGAGAAAGTCGACAAAGTCGAAAAGAAAATATGTGAGGATGCAGGAAAAACTGAGTCCCCCGATTTCCCAGTAGTGTTTGTTTGCAAGATTAACAATTTTAGTGAAGTTCTGAGACAGGCGAAGGCCGGAGAAAACATAGCAGTAGCATATGGTCCATTTTTGACTGGCACTTATGGTTACAAGTTAAAAGTTAAAATTTATCCTAATGGTTGTGGATCCAGTAGGAATACTCACCTGTCGGTGTTTATCGTCGTCATGAAAGGTGAATATGACGCTATATTGCCCTGGCCCTTCGAAAAGAAAGTGAAGTTTACACTGATCGATCAACATGAAGATTCAGTTGAACGGGTAAACGTTAGTCATTGGTTCCGTTCAAGCAATGCCCTAAAACACTTTGCAAGGCCAGTGAGTGAAGAGAGCACAGGGCGGGATTTTTCGACGTTTATATTTCACGAGAAACTTTTTTCAAGGTGCTTCGTCGTGGATGACACTTTGTTTCTTCAGGCTGAAGTCGGCTCGCCATCCAGTTGATTTTAAATGTTTAAGAAATTAGTTTTACTCTCGCACTCATTCACATCGGGCGGAAAACGCTATGTTATTGGGGAAGTCAATCCATACAAAAAAAATCTCCAAGGATTTCGGGGTTGCTATGTGTACACGTATATCTCATGCGAAAATTGGACCGCTGGATGATTCAGTTACATTATTATGCGTATCGCTCTGAAATAGAGTCGCAATATTGTAAAAACCTTTTGTACATTGTAATAAACCAAAACATGGTTTTAACGTTGTTAACAATCCTCGGACTCGTCTTGTTTATGATGAATGCCGTTCTATTTAATTTTTTCAGATTGAGGTCGTCCCTTCATCCAGTTGACATTGTCTTTTGATAACGTTTTTTCACGCTCGCCATGATAAGGGTGACGAAAAAGAACGTGGAATTACAGACAGCATATACATAACATTTAAAAACAAAAAGAAAAATGACTTCATGCACGCTTTAGCGCTGCTGTACTAATTAAGTCCACTGCGCATAAATAAGCAAGTAATATTGCATGCAAAAACGTTAACATGTTAAGAAGCCTAAGGGATTGGAGGGTAACCAGTTACCGAGTAGAGGAATTGAGGGGTTCAGAACCATAGCGGGCTAAACCACTTTAATTTAATTTACAGAAAAAGCACTTTTAATTTAAGTTTTGAAAAAAAAAATATTAAGAAGGTTTTTCTTGTGAAAACATGTTTATTTTTATAGGAATATCATTTACATCATGTTATAAGTTATCTTTACCAGTATTATAGTGTTCACTTTAAGATTTAGTGAAAACAATTAATAACAATAGCGGACACAGTTCTGTCAAAGCCACTTCATACAGTTTCTTCTTTACGACAATAATGACTTGACTCAGTTGGGAAGCTTTAAATGTGAGCTCGCACAAACTGAACATCCTCTTCGGGGGTTTTGTTTTTAGGCTCATGTCTACCCCTTTGATCTGTTTGTGGAGATCCCACACTTTGCATTTTCGATAGAGTACGAGAAACCTGCCATTAAATACAGCATAAATGGCCAAGAAAGCCTTTTTGCATACTCGAGTAGACATTCCGTTGTCGTTTATGTAATATTGACGAGAATAATTTCTTCGCGA